GTGAGTGGGGTGGGGGGGGTCATATTGATGTAGCGGATGTTATAATGGCTTAACATTGCCCTTGATGCTTAACTGCATTGACTCTGTAGTCAGTGTCAGTAAGTGTATGTGATTTAACTGCATGGAGTGTGTGTGTGTGTGTGTTGGAGGGGGTGGTGCAGGGCGGTAACATCCCTGCAGTGTTACATTGTGCCCTCTTGTGGATATGAACAGACATTATGTACAGACCATTCGATCCTAAGAACATTTTGTATCAGTCGTTTTTGACGAAAGCCTATGAAATATTTCTGCAAATGGAGAATGTTACAACTATGTAAGGAATATTTAAACATTTAACCATGAGTAAGGTAAAAAAGGCATTTAATGTACAATATAAAGTATGACCTGTAAATCATGAGAGGTTTTCCACCTGGTCTCCAGGGAACCGTCTGGCCACAATGACGAGTGTGTTTCATACGGCCCTTATGACAGGGGGCAGCTGTATTCAAGAGACTCATAAAATAAGTTTATTATTATTAAAATTAACAATAGACATCTTGAGTTGGCACATGAAAAATAGATTGGACAAAACTGAAAAAATATAAATCCGAACAAATGTTATTTACAAACTCTTTATGACATCCACAATTTAATTTAAAACTATATTGACATTAAAATCACTGTTCCTTACAAACAAATGCCCATTTATTACTAAATGCTTTTACAGAATATTGACTTGTCCTAAAGCATGCATTGCATTTATTTTGCCTGAATACTTAACAGGCTGTGACCTGGGGCTCAGTATCTTTATATAACCTTTGTGAAAACTGTAACACCAGCCTGCAGGGCAAGATTTTAAATGCCAAAATGTATAAATGTTTTGGAAACTGAGACACTTAAAAAAGATTTTGCAAATGTTCAGGCTACACATTAAGTGAACAGCAGGACCAGAGAACACATCTGCTTTCTGTTGCTCCACATGTCTGTCTCCCTTCTAATCCGATTTTATAGTTTCATGAGGTAGAAAACAAACAAAAAGGTTTTAAAAGCTCTAAAACACAATCATTGCTGTCTATATTCATAAAACGTTCATGATAGTTTAGAAACACAAAAGATGAAAAAGTGTATAAAAATATTAATAATGAAAACAATTAACAAGGGATTTTTTAAATGATAAATTAATGCCTAACAGCTCTGATTTGGAGAATTTTGTCTGTGGATTATACGTATATATTAAGTTCTATTTAAATAAAGCTAATATTTGCTAAAAACCTTCAAAATCAAAGATCAAATTTTTTTTAAATATAAACATTTGAATTTTTTCATATCAGTATATCATCATAATTACGTGACATGCAAACTCACAAAAATGCCTAAAAAAAATCAGTAGTGGTGCAAAACAAACATATGGTTTTCAAACCAAGTGGCTTTCAAACTCTCAGGTTCAAAATTAGGATGCCACGAAGATAATCTGCTGCTCACAAGCTGATGTGGAGATACACAGTTCTGCAGAAAGCCATGTGTGAAGAGTTCCTGATAGCATGTACCTTCATCATCACTCTTCAGCTTATTGTTTCACAGACATGAAGTATCTTCTGGTTGAAATCCTCTGGCTGGTCAGCATACACATAGTGTCCTGCACCTCGTATGGCCTAAAACCAATGCATGCCAATAAGAAGTTTAATATTAGTACATAGGCATAGCCTACGAATACCAAGCAAACAATACAATATGTGTATCAGAAGAGCCATAATAAACTGTAACTGTTTATTTTGAACCACTGCCACAGATTGTGATGTAAAACATTCCAATATTTTCGCTTGGCTCTTTTTGTATAACTAACTTTCCCAATAGCTTGAAGATTACACAATGGCATTGCAGAACTAGACTAATTAGCTCCGTTATTGTGGTGAGAGGAGTCAGTCTGGAACACGAGCGCATTCATTGACTGTACAAAGACCTTTGTTTTTGGACTGCCAATTCAAGCAATTACAAATTGTACTTGTACAAGACTGCTTGCTCCCAACATTTTAATCTATTAGAATTTTTGCAAATTTAACTCCCACTGGGATTAAGAAGTTACTTGCGAAAGCTATGTCATCCAGTCAAAGCTCCCAATGTCTGTGAAATTCCATAATCCTATGCCTATATCAGGCACTAAAACGGAAATATTGTCATGTTGCCTTTAAAAAATCACCCCCTTTGCATCAGTGTTGCTCGTACACCAGTGAGTCTCAAAATTGTGTCAAAAATAGTATTTAACTGCTCCATCCTTCAATAATAGCCTCTGACAATGAAAAGGGATCTTGATCAAAATAAACTTCAGTCACTCATTTGGAACAGTGTGGTCCTTCAGAAGCATATGCAGAGTTGTAGATGCTACACACTTTCTCCATAATACCTCATTGTGACTAGGTGTGCCAAGTTTCTGAATACAGCATAAACAATGTAAATGTGGGCAGCCATGTGTTCAAATGCATTCATCTGTGTGATGTTGCAAAGTTACAGTATGTTTTCATAATTCCTCAAGAAAATATGACCTCTTTAAAGCAATGCAAAAGTCTCTATGAGTGACAGTGTGTATTGAGCAGTGAATAGAGAACTCACAATAATCTCTACATGGGAGTTTCGCCTCATTTCTTTGATTGAATTGCCGGAGTGGCCATCTATGCTGGAGCGTGAGCCATAGATCACTGTAATGGGGATGTCGCTGTGAATCAGGCCAATTCTCTGCAGCATGGGCCTCTTTGCCCAGCCATACGGAATGGTCATGTTTTTAAAGGCTGTTTCACCGCTAAAAAAATAGAATCATAATGAAGAACCGACCATTATGAGCATTTCAACATTCACACATATATATTTTGTACAAGGCCATTCAAAACAAAGCATAATGGAGATGATAGATAGATAGATAGATAGATAGATAGATAGATAGATTTGTTACCTTGGAATTTGGACATTAAGATGATAAATATATTCTGTCACTCTGTTGTCATTAAACACAGCTGCAAATTTCTTTTTGAAGTCTGGTCTCAGAGTCTGCACAAGAGTAGGGCCTACAGAACAATGTGAACACACATCTGTAAAAACTAAAAATTGAAAATCCACCTGAAATCGATCTATCCATAAATGATGGATAACCCATACAATTTTCATCTCATCATCAATTCTTCACTTCACGTGTCACATGTTTCCATAGTCAGTGACTAATGTCCAGCTCCATTCAGAATCCTACAGAACTCATCAGAAAGCTCTGCAGATTTCCAAGGAATTGGACGTCCAATTATTCATTTTATGTCTCCAGAATGTGTGTTTCTTGTTTGTAATGTTGATGCAATTACTGCCGATGCAACCAATATTGATTATTTTACTTTCTCAGCAACTAGAGTACAAAATGCAAAGGTGTTTAGCCTTTCTTGATATATCAACCAATCATTGCAGAAATGTAATTTACATTATATTCATTTGAACCGCTGGCAATAAAGACAACTACATAATTATAAAGGGTAAAACAAATTATAAAACTATAATCCAACACACTAAAATTAAATGGTATGCATTATATAGCAAATCTCATCTGCTTGATTATTATATTGTCGAAAAATGTAAATATATGACTACAATATATAACTATATTATTGCCCAGCAGTATATTAAAAGTTGGAAGTATAGTACATTGTACTTTACCTTCATACATACAGTATGCTTAGGCAATGCGATTTATAGTATATAGCAAATCTCATCTGCATTATTGTTTGCAAATTATATTATTGCAAAGAATTATTAATGTAAAGTTGGATATTTAAATGTCCAATTTTATCTGCATACATACAGTATACTCGTGTAGGGTAGCTTGATTAGCTGCTTGATTGCTTGTATCATCGCAAAATGTAATCTTCCAGCTCTAATCTGCTAAATGCGACTACTAAGGCATGGAGATATAAAGAAATTAATAACAATAACATCATACATTTCTGTAAAGTTTCTTTGAAACTGTTTGTATTGTGAAAAGCACCATACAAATAGACACGAGACTTGAGAAATACTGAATATTTGCAAACAAATTTACCATACCATTTGAGCAAAAACTAAATAAACAAATACAAATTCAAACTGAAGACCCATGTCAAGCTGGACATACAGCAATCATTTTCATTAAACAGCGGACAGTGCCAGTCAGGATTTTGTGGTAGGTATGTGAAATTATATTCATATTGTAATTTTCTTAAATTTTCTGTCTAAAAGTTAATAAGGGAGGCTATTTTCAACAGTTAAAAAGAAAAAAAGAATCTGCAGTTTAGTGTTCCTTCTTTGAAAAAAAAAAAAAAAAAAAAAACATTCAGCCACTGCACATTACTATTGGGTTGTTTGTTAATTATTCTAGCTAATTTGATTATTGGTAGCTTTCAGTTACTAATAATAGTATAGTAATCATAGCTCTGTTTAACACTTTCAACTATGTTAACAGAACTATGCCGATTTCCCTAAAAACATCTGCAATTATAAATCCCTAAAAAAATCAGCAAATATACTCAGCTGTGAAAAAAGTAGATTCTGTCTGGGCTTGCTTGTAATGTTAAAACCATCCTGAGTCAGGGGATTTCTGGCTATGAGGTTATGCTACTCCTAAAATACTGGGGGACTTTGAAAAATAGGAAAAGAGGGAAAGAGAAATGAAATAGTATCTAGGCCTGGGCGATAAAACGGTATCGATATTTATCGACGGTACACCTTCATCGATAACGATATAAAAAATTTTCGATATAGGGCACGATATAGGCACGTGCTATGAGTGATGCAGACAGCTCACACAAACACGAACACGTGCTGAATTGAGTGCTGTGCCTGCCTGTGATGAGGAGATTGTGAAT